CACTTTTTCCAGCATGGCAGCAAACAAAACACCTGCTAAGCCTAAGCTCAGGTGAGTTGCTGACTAACGGTGCACTCTAATGGGTTCCCTGACATAATCAGGCAGCACTTGTACCTTCTTTAGTGTTCTGTCAGCACTCAGCCTTTTCACCCAGCAGAGAGGGTGAGAGGGAGCCCTGAGCATGAGTCGGCTCACACATAGAAAGGCCTGTGGACAGCTAAGACTAATTATGAGGTCTGGTTGCCAGGTAAGATGTGGATGAGGAATGGAGGCTTTTTGTCACCCAAAGCTCTACAGAACCTCCATGCTCCAGGACACAGAAAAGGACTTAATAAGAGTCTGAGAAAAAAAAGTTTGTTCTCTCTATGATGGACATAAATCCTACAGCCCCTCACCATGTGATGAGACGTGCTCTTTTAAACAAAAAAATATTAAGTAGAAAAGTGTCCTTCAGCATTTTGTGCTGCGCACATCACAAAAGTGACGAGAGCTGCAGCTGCGTTTGTTGGGAATTATTGATCGTTACTGCCCTCTCTTGGCCAATACACATATATCTTCGCGGGGAGAATATTCTGAAGTTCTCCTGAGTCAGCAGATGTGTTCAAGTTTTCCATCAACCTAATGGATCAATTCAGTCGACTCCAAGACACGTCTGTTTTAAGCTGCAGTATAGAAGCTGCAGCACATTTCTCAGGGCGATATCCTCCGTACCCCCTTTGCCGTTTTAGTGTTTGTCGAGGACTAACGGGGGGGGGAGGGGCGGGGGCTTTGTGCCGTTTTAAAGTGCCGCAGTCTATTTGCAGAGTGCTGTAGAGTGGAATCATCGGTTTAAATCCCAGCTAATGAATGGTAATTTTTATTGATGGAAGAACGTCTAGATCATTTGAGTTCAGCAAAGTTTTTTTTTCTTTCTTCACCCTGCAGGGACGGCGCGGTGTCTCCTGAACGTCCTTGACACAGGCTGCGTCAGGGGTGTAAATTTTCTTGCCTCCTCCTGAAATGACATTGCCGCAGAGGAGAACGCAAAGGAGACAAGCTAATAATGCATAATTTGCACGTGAGACTCCTCTGCAGTTGACAATGAGTAGAGTAATGGTCTGACTTATTTAACCAAATAGAAATGCGGGAAGTGCAATAACCCATACCAACCTGACTGGAGGTCATATTTCAGCGGTCTGACAACAGCGGGCTGGAAGCTGGTTGCTTTAGGTTACTGCACTTTGTGGGTCATCACCATTCTTTAGCTTGCTTTATTAAAGTAAACTGATCAGGGTTATGAAAGTGCAATATTTACTCAAAAGTTTGTGGAACCCGATCATCACGCCTACGCTCCATGGCCAAAGTTTATTGACATCCTTTCAGATTGAGTTCAGGTGTTTTCAATGGCATGTACTCTTAATTCATACACCATACAAAGACATTTTAGAAAATGTTGAACTTCCAATCATGTTGACAACAGGTTGAGCAATGCCCTTTCCTGGTCCATTATGATTGCGCCCCTGTGCACAAAACCAGCTTCATAAATACCAGTTTAGCGTGGAGGAACGCAAGTAGTGTGGAGGAACACAGAGCTCTGACCTCAACCCCATTTGAATGCCTTTGAGTTGATCTTCTCCTCCAATTAGTACTTTGATCCCACAAGTGCTGTTTTGGCTGATCGGGCACAAAATCCCACAGACTCACTCCAAAAGCTTGTGAAAAGTCTTCCCAGAAGAGTGAAGGCTGTTATAGCCAAAAAGGGAGGAGGGGTGAAATTAATTTTTTAATGGAAATGCAATGAGATGTCCAACAAGCTTATTATGGTGTGATGATTAGACATCCACCAACTTTTGGCTATATAGTGTATTTTGATAAGTTTTACATTATTTGGCCAAGCAGACTTTGTTTTTTTTTCATTACTTTGAGGAGCTAGAACTGAGGATCCCTGAGATCTAATTGGTGCTCCCGTCAACTACTTGACCTCATGTTTATAACCCATGCTGTCTTCTGGCTCCCGAACGGATAACAGTATCAAACGACAGAGCCCTGCATTTGTTCACCATTACTACTACCATGACCATTTGCAGTCTTTGGTAACTTATAATCGTGAAACCTTGCTCCAAACATATTATCCATTTGGTCTTTTCTTTGGCAAGGTTAATGTTCTGCCTTACATTGTGTTTGTCTGTCATTACCTGGATGTCATCTATCCACCATGTTGTTCTTCTTCCCTTAATTTAACTTGCTGTCTTGGACAATCTTGCGTAGCTCCTCTCCAACCGAATTTATTGCAGTATCGCCATTTATTTAAAATTCATCCTTCCAACAGATGTGGTTTTGCTTCATTGACTCTCTACGGACGCTCTTCATTCGTGATCACATCCATCTGATTTTCAAGATCCTCAAACTTCAAAACAGTTTGAAACCGTTTAAAACTTACAATGTTGTTTAGGAGACATTGTGAAGGAAAAAATTACTCTGCCATACACAATAACAGACCAGACTTGCATTTGTAGCAGTCTTTCCTTTGTACTTGGAGATTTGTTTCTCATCAGCTCTTTGTGTCTCCAGAAACATTGTTTGGCCTTGGTAGTCCCTGCTTTGACCGACATTCTTCTTTAGTTATTCTCATTGCTCCCATTTAATGGAGCCTGGTTATTTGATGCTGTGCTATACACTGGAGAGCTGATGGCATGTTTTGAGGTCTGTCAGTCAATAAGGGTACAAGTGTAAAGTCTCAGGGTGCTTACTCCCAGCTCCAGGGTCATGGCCAAAGTAAGTAAATATTCAAGGGAGGAAACCTGCTTCCTTCACAAGTATGGCTGCACATTTATAATTAACAATGGCTCAATGCAAGAAACCCAAGATATACAAAACGGTCCCTAGTTCCTTTTCATATATATTTATTGTCATTTTTAGCCCTGTAGTTGCAATTACCCGTTTTATTGCCACACTTCAGCAAAGGGTTTAAAGTGACATTAAACCCTCAGATTTTTTAACATAAACCAATACTGCAATGTGCGCCTTACTGTAATCCATGGTCGTTTCCCTTCTCTTTGCTGCTCTTTCTTGTAAATCTTCATCTCTTCTCATGCTGGGCAGAACTTCCCTTTGCAACTGAGTGCCTCTTCCTGTAGTGCTGGCTCAGGTTGTGAACCTGCACACAGACACCATGTAGCCATTCCAGAGACAAGGCAGTCTGCTGCAAAACAGAAGTTCTGCCCAGCATGAGAAGAGATGAAGATTTACAAGAAAGAGCAGCAAAGAGAAGGGAAACGACCATGGATTACAGTAAGGCGCACATTGCAGTATTGGTTTATGTTAAAAAATCTGAGGGTTTAATGTCACTTTAAGTCAGGCTTGCAGTTTAAGTATCTGCTCTGCAATTTCACTCTCTCCAATTGTATCCTCTCACAGGGGTGTGCTGCTGGAAAATCGCATTGGATGCATGAAAGATAATAATAGCAGTTAGTGGACTTCCAGGGGCCTGACTACCAACCAATATCAATGGGAACTTTCAATGGATTAAAGTTACACTTTTGGCAAAGAAGGAAATTTTCCTTTTTCATACTTATTCAGGGGACGCAACCCACCTTGTTGATTGGCTGCAATTGTCGGCAGCCTTATCTTCTGAATAACACAGATTCTGAGTCTGTGAGAAAGCAAGGCAAATGTTTGCAATATCTGAACCTCGGCCTCTGTAGTTCTCGGTGAACTTTTACGGCACAAACGTATGACAAGAGGCTTTAGTCTTCCACATGAACCATTACAAGTCCACTGGTAGAAGATCTGTGTTGTATATCCATTTCACTGTACCGTATCTATTTTTAGAGGAGCAGCGTTGTCACGTAACACCTCCCTCTCTCCTCATTTTTCATTACATGCGGGGTGTTTTGTAGTTCACAGACGTAAACTGGGCAGGGCTGAAAACTCTGCTCGATCCTGAGTTGGTAAGGATCAACAGGTATTTTTGCACTTATCAAACAGGTTCACAAACACTTTCAATGGTATATTTAACAGACCAAAAAGGAGCAAATAGGCGAAGCAGTGTCGTCACAAGGGGGGTGCGGCCCACACCCGTGTGACACCATTGGAGGGGTGACACCAAAATGACTGACAGTCATTTTGGTGTCGCTCCCCTCTGAAAAGTCGGGCACTCAGTCAAGGACCGAGAGCTCGAACATTGTTCGAGAGAGGAGGGTACCCGGCGGCATACCTCATCCCGCCGGGTGACGTCCCCTCCTCTCTCTGCCGGCGTCCATCACCAAAAATGGCCGCCAGCAGGTAATAGCGGTACCGCGCATGACGTCCTCACACGTACGCGATGACGTCACTGCGGGGTGCCACCTGGTACCCGCACCGTGTGTCACCCCGCCTCTGGACGCCTCTCAGGTGAAGTTCATTGTTTGGATTTGCATACACTTTAATTGCATACCTACGCCAAGTCAGTGACTCATAGTGTTGAAAACATAAGGGTGGGTGTCAAAATCAAGCGTCTAGCATTTTCAGGAGGATAGGTCAGCTATTTCAGCCGACGGGCCGGTTCACACCATATCTAGTGCGTTCCAATGCGGTCAGTGCCCACAACGCACTGGATCACATAAAGCAAACCACCTGCGTTCTAGATATGGTGTGAACCAGCCCTAAATGTTAACAGACTGCCGCAGTTTGACTAAGCACTTAGTTGCTGGCAGAGGAGGGGAGAATAAACCAAAGATCTCTGACTGGAATCCAATCAATCACTTAATCAGCCAATCATTTAATCAATCTATAATTTTGTTATTAATTCCTATCTTCATTGTGATTGAATTTCAAGATTAAAAACTGTATTAGAGCATTTTAATCATTTTTGTACCTCTCCTCTTCATTTGCACTTTTGCACTTTTATATATTTGCCCCCAATCAGTTTCTTGTGACGAACCCGTACGGGGACGATCCTACGGATGAAGGGTGCAGACTGAGTGTAAAAAATCTTCTACTTTAGTCTTTTCTCACTGTCTGGTTTTTGGCTCCATCTTCAGGATCCTTTAGATCCAGCACGGACGGTGATCGTGGTTCAGTCTCTGGTCGCAGGTGGCATGGCAGAGGAAAGCGGCCAGATTCTGCCGGGCGACCGCCTGCTCTTTGTAAATGACAGTTTTATGGACAATGCCTCGCTGGATGATGCTGTGCAAATATTAACATCTGTCCCGCCGGGGAAAGTCCGCATTGGCCTTTGCAAGCCGCTGGTGGTAAGATCTGTAAATCGGACCCTTCCATGAAAGAGTTATTTTTTTCTATTTTTTATTCAGAAATAAAAAATAAAGAAAAATGTTGATGTTCTAACATCAGAATTCATAAAGAATCTGAAGCAGAAATTCTGCCTGATTTTGTTTTTTAAATACTATTCCATTGAACAATCATACAATTCAAAGTTTGGCGCCTATTACATAGCTGTCAAACTAAAGCTGTGAGCCAGAATGAAATGATCTGGTTTCTGATCCTGTTTGATACATATTAATAGGTAATCTCTTAGGCTGGGTTCATCCCTAGGCGTATCGAATATGCGCGTTTGTCGCACGTTTCGTGACGCATGTTTTTACCGCGATACGCGGTAAAAAAAGCGTGCGTCAAATGCGCGTTTCTGAGGGCTATTTGGCTGTATCCCACTGGAAACGTGCGACAAAAATGCCCCAAAGAAGCTCCTGTACTTCTTTGGGCGTAGGGCGTTTTGTAGCGCGTTCATACGGCCGGTAATACGCCCAGGTGTGAACCATACCCATAGGAAATAATGGGATTTCGGTGTTTGAGCATTTTGCAGAGCATTTGAACACGCTACAAAACGCCCAGGTGTGAACCGGGCCTTAGAGCTGTGGTTCTCAGCTGGTGGGTCACGGCCCAAAATTGAGTTGCAACCCTGTGTTCAGTGGGTCATCACATACCTTCCACTGCACTAGGTGAGATGCTCCTCAGCCTCCCCCTGGTGCAGCACTGTCCGTTCTCGCGCCAAACAGCCATTCAAAATATGCCGCCCAGAGCTAAGTGAGCTGGGGGTATGGCTGCGAGGCTGTGCCTAGGCACAGGAAAGGTGCACTGCTACTTTTCAGGGTAAATCCAAGACAAAAGGTGAATCTTTCAGGGTCCTGGTAGGGCACAATAAAGTGGAACTGAACTCAAAAAGTGAAGGTTTGCTATGTTATAGGGAGCATTTAAAATTAATAAAGTGGAACTAACATCCACCTTACTTACCTCTCCACCAATGATCCAAGCTCCCCTCACCATCACTGACATCTTTGCCCAGTCTTCTAGATTTGGAATGTATGACCATCATGACTAACTGGCCCAGGATGACATTCTCATGCATGCGCATGGGAGCTAATGCATGCCAACACTAAAGAATACTGAGTGACACTGAGCTCCACATGCGTGGCTCTGTGTGCATTTAGAGGGAACATTGCTGGCATGCAGGTAAGATGCTTATTTATAGTACAGCGAGACATACTGAGTCTCATCTGCATAGTTCTGCTTTAAAATTCATCTTGCACATTAACCTAATTTGCAGCTTAGCGTCCCACATGCAGCAGGAAGGTGGCAGTCTGCTTGCAGTACTCACTCACTTGCTGGCCTTACTATTACAGCTTCTTAGTTCTTGCACAGACTACAATTACTTTATTATACTGACATGAGAAATAACTTGTGCCTGCAGCCACATAAAAACAGATTTATGAGATCAACCTGTACAAATGTACTTTGACATTCTGTGTTTTGCCTTTAGAATGAAATGAAAGGTGACACTGTGTACATTCCACATAGAGGAGAATCGGGGGATAATATGGACGCTGCAATAGAAGATGCATCACTACGGTCTAATCGTTACCATGTAATTGCTGGTTTCAGTATAGATGTGTTTGTTTGTCCAGTTCTAAAAATGTGAACTGTGGAACAGTGACGCTAAACTCAGGAGTTAAAAGAGAACTATTGGGTAAATGTTTTTCCACATAGTTCTCTTAAGGGTCATGGGAGGACATATACTAGCGTCCTCCCGTGACCCAAAGCTCAGTATATAGCGAGCTACAGCTCGCGGTATACTGAGACTGCCGCAGCCGGGACGAATCCCGACAATGCTGTTGAGATCCACCCAGCTGTGTGAATGACAGCTGGCTCTGCCTATCTAGAGTCAGAGCCAGCTGTGCCTGCCCCATCCCCCGTTCGTTCCTTCAGTCAGCGCTGGAGGATCGGACAGAGGAGGGGGGATCCCTGCGGGAAGCCGTGACTGACAGTCACCGCTCTCTGCAGGGAGATGATCGAGAAGTGAGCTACCGACGGTATGTGTTCGCTCACTTCCCGATCTATAGAGCCGACGTGTGACAGTTTCATTGTCGCAGGACGGCTCGAACTAGGAGGCTGAGTGATTTTCACTCGTGTCATAGTTCTCCTTTTTAAATCTTAAGAATTAAGAACCTTAACTCTGAACAACAATGTATCTTATTTGTGTATCACTCGGCTGTAGATCCTCGAATCATCTCTGAATTGGTGCTGACACTGTCCTGTCTTCTGGAGGGGGGCTACTTGTGTTCCCCATGGTCCCTGTGTGTGTTGTAAAGTAGTCACCGCTCCAAGCTCACTCCCCAGATGGACTACAATCTCATATTTCCTTTATTAATTTGTATTGAGATTGTAGTCCATCAAGGGAGCGAGCTTGGAGCGGTGACTACTTTACAACACACACAGGGACCATGGTGAACAGACGTAGCCCCCCTCCAGAAGGAAGGACAGTGTCGGCACCAATTCAGAGATGATTTGAGGATCTACAGCCGATCGATACACAAGATACATTTTTGTTAATAGTTAAGGTACTTGAATGCATTTTTATGATTTAACTCTTGAGTTGAGCTGGCCTTACACCAGTAGAATTTCATTCAAAACAATTTGTTTTTAGAACGATCACCCAAAACGAATACACCACTCGCATCCACCTCCACAATCCGAGGATCTCAACCGCTTTTGTCGTGATTAAGCCACAATGGTGGAACACGTGAGAGCGTAAAGTTGTGTGTCAGTCTACAGCTTATTTTATGTTCATGGATTAAACAGTGTATGGAAGATTCATCCTTAGAGGGTGGCTCCCCATCTTTTTAAAACTTGAATTTGTTTTCAGAACTTTCATTCCATTTTCTGATAGTAGATGGAGTCAAATTGACAAACGCTTTCAACTGTAGTGATAAAAAGGACGTTTGTAGTTCTACAAAAAAAAAGTTTCAAGAATCTAGAGTTTAACTACCATTTTAAAATGCCGCTTGTGGGAGCGGCTATGTGGCCCAGCTCCGTTTTAAAGCAGTACTGGGAATCGCCAGCTTCAGCGGGTCCAGAAAGGGGTTCAGGCATTCAGCACGAAGCCCAGGAGCTTCCAATGCTTCTACAGATATAGCTCCAGAGGAATACTGTGTAGAAGTGAATGTGAATATTATGCTTCTGCGTAGTTTTTTATATGAGAACTGTAGTGAAGTCACGAGTGACGCCACCGCACTTCATGCCACTATGGGGGCGCAGGCAGAGCTGCTGCAGCTTTGTCCAGCCTCTCCTTTCAGCTGCTTTATTATTGCTCTACTTCAGCAGTAAAACCTAAAATAAAAGTTTTGGCTGGATATGCTTTCAGTATTGCTATTTATTCTGAGCATCCTATTGTATAAGACTTGTGCTCATTCTACATCACTCTTTTTACCATTTGAATTTTGTGTGTGCTGTAGGTACAATACAAAGTGGAGCCCTTCTTGGAACAAGAGGAGTTGGTTGACGAGCCATTGTCGGCGATGGGACCAGCTTTCAACTTACAAGACGATAATACAAAGGCTGTGCAAGAGTTGTGGGAAATGCACGAATTGGAGGGCTTTGCAGAGGAAAGGGAGATGCTGGTGGATGAAGAGTATACAGAACAGGGCGAGCCACATCCCTACGCCAATCAGTATAGTCTGAATTATAATGGAATCCGCTCCGAGGAGAACCCGTCGTATAGCCAGCCCTGGCTAGACAATGCAGACGTATGTACAACAATAAGTGCAAATCGTCATTTACAAAGGTGCAATTTAACTGCTTTATGAGATTGTCTGGCTCATATAATGCCGCCTCCCCCCCCCTCCCTGACTGATTTATCACTCCACACCCCTGTCTGATCCTTTTCCCCTTTAATTCCAGATTAGTTCTTTAAGTCTAGCCCAGGAAAATAAAAATGGCCACAAAGTTATTCATTGACTCATGAAATTGCAAGCTTGTGACTGTTTCAAAGCGTCTGCAAATTGCCATTTGATTGAACACTGAGAAAAAAAAAAAAGTTATTTTGCAGACAGTCCGTGAATATTTATGAGCAGCTTGTCATGGTTTAAATGTAGGTATTGATCACGCAGTACGTCTGGAGCGCGTTTTATTGACCTGGGCTTCTTTAATTCAGAAGTTCTAGAATTATGTTTGGCAGTTCTGAACTTTTGGGTGGGATTTTTTTTTTTTAAAGAGAGCTTGCGGAATGGAGTAAACGGAGCAAAATCGTCAGTGGGGCTGATGCTTTAAAGAGAGCCTGTCTTGTCATTGAAAAATCAAAAAGCTTACAGCTGAACGCCTTAATTTCCCATTTGTGTAGCAAGTCCTCTCCAGTGTTAAAGGAGAACTATGGGGTCAGGGCTTTTCCCCATAGTTGTCCTAAGGGTAACGGGAGAACACAAACTAGCGTCCTCCCGTCACCCTAGGCTCAGTATACCGCGAGCTGTAGCTCGCGGTATACTGAGACGCCGCAGCCGGGACGGATCCCGACATTACTGTCGAGATCCATCCAGCTGTGTGATTGACAGCTGACTCTGCCTATCTAAAGGCAGAGCCAGCTGTACCCACCCCCTCACCCGTCCGTTCCGCCAGTCAGCGCTGGAGGATCGGAGCGGGTAGGGGGGGAATCCCTGCAGGAAGCCGTGAGTGACAGTCACAGCTCTCTGCACGGATAGATCGAGAAATGAGCGAGCAACGCTATGTGTTCGCTCACTTCCCGATCTATTGAGCTGACCTGTGACAGTTTCATTGTCGCAGGTCGCCTAGAACTATGAGGCTGAGTGATTTTCACTCGCCACATAGTTTACCTTTTTTAAAACCCATTACTCTTAATTTCCTGCAAACTTGCATAAGTGTTGGAAGCTGCAGCAGCTATCTTGATCCTGTCTATTTCCTTTATTAATGACTGTTGTCATTATAAGTCCCCTCTCCTCCCAATCCATACTGTTGTTGCCCACCTATCACAGCAATTAGCTTCCTCTGCCATCAATCATTATGTTCCCGAGCAGTATATTAAAAACCACATCTGAGGCATTCCCTTTGACATGTATGCTTAAGCAACTGATCTGTGTCTAAAGGGATGCCAGGGATGTGCCCCTTTATATAACCCTCTTGAAAGAAGTTCCGAGGCAGAAAGCTGTGACGTTTACAGGGGTCTGCCAGCCCCTCCCACCAAGGGAGGTAGGAGGGGCTGGCAGACTGGGGCTGCCTCTCTTGTTGGTTTTGATGCAAAGACCAACGAAAGAGGCAGGTCTTGAAAACAAAATTGGAAAATGTGGAAAATGTTAATTGCATGTTAAGGGGAAGGGGAGGACAGGGGCAGGTAAGGTATTATATGCATTAAAGATCCACCGTGCCCATTCAGACCCACTAATACCTTTTCTAGTGCTCCCCTGTTGCTTCTTTCGTTACCTCAGCTGGTAAAAGTACCTCAGTGATTCTGGTTGTGACCTGCTCCCATGTGACTCAGGTCTAGCAGACAGTTGTGGTCATGCCACTGCTCCCCCTAGTGTCTGACGCTGTGTGCTTGTTGGCAGGCAACGTATAATTGACTAACTCAAATAGTTTCACCGCTGCCAAAAGACAATACAAAGCTGGAATAGTCTTTAGCTTGGAGCCTGCCACCTGCTGACTAAGTACATATGACATTTATTTATAATATTTACCTGATATTTAATATTTACCTGATCAAAAAACTGTATTTAGTACAGCATGTAATACAGGAAATTTAAAATATATAATCGGAATAATACATTTTTTTAGGTAAATATAAAAAAAAAAAAAGGGGAAATCCTATATTTTTCTTTTACTAAAAGACCTTGACAGTCAATATGAATATATTTAATATTTTATTTTTGCTTGATCATCAGCATGTAACACTTTTTTTTTCTTTCTTATTTGAAGTATATTGAACAGACTGACCCTGGAGTAATGTCAGTGGATCCTGTAAATACATATGCTTCCGAAATGGAGGTCCAAAATCCAGAGGACATTAACATCGAACTAGAAGGTTTCCCTCAAGTTTATGTTATGATTTTTGTTTGGTTTTAAAAAATGTATGTATTATTATCTCCATAGTTTCCAGGTACATTGAGTCAACATATTCCACAGAAGGTTAGAGTGTGAATAGATCTATTCCCTTCCGTCTCTGCCCTAATGAGCTTACAATCTGATGCCCCTACCACGGCAGTGGCGTCACAAGGGGGGTGCGGCCCGCACCCGGGTGCCACCATTGGAGGAGTGACACCAAAATGACTTGTCAGTCATCCACCTCTGAAAAGTCGGGCACTCGGTCAACCGAGAGCCGGAAAGTTGCATCGAGAGAGGAGGGGACCCAGCGGCATACCTTATCCCACTGGGTGACATCCCCTCCAGGTAACAGCAGTACCGCACGTGACGTCATCACGCACATACGCGATGACATCACTGCGGGGTGTCACCCGGTACCTGCACTGGGTGTCGCCCCGCCTCGGTCATACTTGTATTTACTTACATAAGGACTAATTTGAATGACTTTGCCTTTCAGTATGATTTTAATTGGGCCAAACTAGGACATGGAGTGTCCTGTGTGTCTGGTGCGGATGGTTGGCTAATTTGCATATCATCCCTCCCAGATTAGGAAAATGAAGCAAATTGGTTAAAGGTTCAGGCCACCCGAAAGTGATATTTAAGCTATGAGTGAAGCTTGGTATATGGAGTCATCCCCTGGCTACCCTGCTACAATCACTGACTCTCTTCCTGTCCACCTGGGAGTTTTGGGTATTCCAACTGCAGTTGGAAACAATCTGGCTGGGATGGTGGGAACCCCTCGCAAATTGCACAGAAGGTGTGCAGGCTCGGAAACTCGTCACTGGGATGGTGGGAACCCCTCATAATGGGCACAGCAGGTGTATAGACCTGGGAGCTTATTGCAGGGATGGTGGGAACCCCTCATAATTGGCACAGAAGGTGTGCAGACCCGGAAACTCTTCACAGGGATGGTGGGAGCCCCTCATAATGGGCACAGCAGGTGTATAAACCTGGGAACGTATTGCAGGGACAGGGACATGGGGACCCCTTATAATGGGCACAGAAGGGGTGCAGACCTGGGAACTCAGCACAGGGATGGTGGGAGCCCCTCATAATGGACACAGCAGGTGTACAGACCCAGGAACTCAGCACAGGGATGGTGGACACCTCTCATAATGGGCAAAGCAGGGGTGCAGACCTGGCAACTCAGCGCAGAGATCTCATCAATCAAGTTCCCGAGAGACATACAAAGCTGTTAGGTGGTTTTATTCTCTGTCAAACGCTATAAAATATCAGTTTTCGGTGGACTTGACCCTTTAAGATGATCCAGATGTTATAGAAATGATTTTGTTCAGTCCATAGTTTTTCTTTAAAATCGAATTTTCCTTCAGGCTGTAGTGAGTTGCAGTGTGCATACAATTTATTCAAAAGTACTGATGTCATTCAAAGATTAACTTTAGGTAAACATACTGACTGTACATAAACACTATATAAATATACAAACTGCAAAAACTGCAGTTCTGTATTCATTAATACATCATCAATTGAATGTGACTTAGTATAACCTCCTGTGGTGCCTGTGCGGCAGAGCTCAGAGTGTGAAATGAAGAAGCAGCACAAGGAACCAGTCAAGAAACATGCTGATAGGACAAGAGAGCAGAGTGACAGACAGATTAGCTCATCAGTTTGCTGCCACTCATTCACTGCCAAGTCACAGGCTGGGGGCGGGTTTATGACAGAGCATTTGATTAAATCTGGAAGGCTGAGGACTTCTAATGGAGGGAAAAAAAAGCACACTGTGGGGTCGGAGTCAGAGTAAAGGCATCTAAAGGTGTCTTCTGGTGCAAATAGTTTTTTGTTTTTTTTATTTTATCTTTTAATCAGCATTTTTTTATAATTTTATCTAAGGTTAATTCTAATTTAATTTTTTTTAAATTATTTTAGGTGATTTTCCTGCTCTCAAGGAACCCGGGATTGTGTTTGACCCAGATGTAATTGCCATAGGAAGGTACATCACAAGGCAAAGAGAGTCTGGAGTGAATGTGACCTCTGCAACTCATCATACAACGAACCAGCTGTCTGCGTATGTACAAGGCCTTGTGTGTTCTGGGCCCTCCATATTCAATTACTAACTGCATTCCCTATATACACACATACATACATACATATACACACACACATACATACACACACGAATTGATCAAAACTGGAGCAGACAAAATCTGGAGCAGCTATGCACGGCAACCAATCAGATCTTTCATTTTCAAATCTTAACGAAACAAACTGAAGAGAGAAGCTGATTGGTTCTGGGCAACTGCTCCAGTTTTGATAAATTTCCCTCACTGTATATTAGGGATGCACTGATACTAGTATTCCTGATTGGCTGGAAAGCCAGCTCGATGCTGATTGGCTAGGAAGCTGGCTTCCCGGACAATCGGCATGGAGCCCGCTTCCTGGCCAATCAGGAAGCAGGGCAGCGGTTAATGACCCACCTCCCAGCTTCCTGATTGGCCAGGAAGCCAGCTCAATGCTGAATGGTTGGGAAGCCGGCTTCCCGGTCAAACAGCATGGAGCCGGCTTCCCGGGCAATCAAGAAGCCGGGCAGCAGGTAATG